AAATCCTGTCTGCTGTGCAACTGCCTCAGGGCCTCTGATGTCCCAAATCATCTTACAGGACTGCATACAGAGCTCAGGGAAATAATCCTGAGCAAGTACCTTTATATTTTAAAGCGCTGCCAAGACCTCTCTATTCTACTAAGCCACCTGAGGAAGTATGATTTAGTCCCTATGAAATAATTTTAAATTTTAACTTCTTTAAAAATGGCTCTTAAAGAGTGGTTCTCCGTAATCCAGCGAGTGCACCTCAGATGGGCTGCACAAGGCTTTTTACTTAGTCTAGTTCCATTAAATACTTTCCCCGTGATTTAGATCACGAAGAAAGGAGGTTACTATTAGAACTTCTCATCGACACCAAGCTTGGTGTGAATAAGCACCAGAAACACTCTGGAGAGAGATCAGGGCGAGTTACAGGAATTGTCTGAAAGCATCAAAATACAGTTCCGTGAACCCAAGTTCAAAGAACTACCTGTATGAAGGAGAAACAGATGCAATAGGGGGCAGCAGAATTACACCAAAGGATAAGAAAATAGCTTAGGGTTAAAGTGGATGACAAACTAAATAAACCCCACGTGAAAAGGCTTAAGAAAGGTCTCATCCACGGATATAATTAACAAAGCTGGATGTAATCAATAAGCAAACTGCCATCTAAACCAGATGTCCCGCTCCTGAGACACATAAGAGCGCCTTAGAAAACGTTCAGCAGAGAGAAACAGAAAGCAAGAGAATTTGCATGTGACCTAGCAAGAAAGCTTAAAGGAATCAGTTTTCTTTAACTTTCAAAAGGAGGGGATGGTGACATAGCACCACGTCAAACACAGAAAGGTTTTTTTATAAAGAGGTTGTCATTATTTATTCTCCCCGTCTTTGGTAATAGCAACATGAATACATCAGGTTTATTTGCAGCAAAGCTGGATACTCTGCAGGCTTTCAGCTAGCATGGCATCACACCAGAACAGCTTTCCCTGAGAAGCTGTGAAATCTCTTACTGCATCTGATACCCAATATAGGGGATTCGTCCCCAGTACATGGCAATGGGCTAGATACCTTCCAAACCTGTATTTCTGATTTCCAAACATGCTGTACTATCCTCAGAAGCTAATGATAATCAAGTATTACAGATTCCAAACAGTCATTAAATTGAGAAGGTGAAAGAAAGCAACTCTCAACTTGGAAAAACCTTCTTTCCCTCCTTTCTCAAAAGGGGGCTGTAGGGACCCCTCTAAATCCGAGCTGGTTTTGATCCATCAACACAGTATAGCTCTGCTCCAGCGGCTCCGTCAGCAAGCCCTTCAGAAGGTCCTGGCCACACACCTGAAGAAACTCCAGCACAGAACAGCCCCCTCCCCGCGGCCCAAGCAGAGCGGGGATGACAGCGGGGCGCTTGCTCAATCCCGCTGCTACGCACTGCCCTCACCCACCTTGCTCCTGCTGCTGCTGCCCCAGTAAGCGGTGCTGTTCACGGGGAGGTGAAACACCTGCACGGACCCACTCGCTCTGTGCCAACAAAGAGGTTTCGAAGCAAGGAGTTCGCAAAGCTGTACCCGTGCTGTTCCACACGGACATGCCGTAACAGCAAAAGGCAGCGGTGACAGCGACGAGCAAGGACAAGGCGGGCAGTGCCAGCCCTCAGCCCAAAGCCTCCCGTCCTATCGGCACACGCCCTGCTGGGAAGGGCGAGGGGATGCTTTCGACTCGGCCGAAGAAGTGGCCTTCTTGTCAACACCGGTCAAAGTACATAGGAGCAGCTCCCTGGGGAAAGTGTGCCCAGCGCGCAGGGCGGCCATCCTCACGGACTGGAGCCGCTGAGCCTGGGGAGTCAGCGTGGGCTAATCTTTATGTCCTCTCACATTAATGATTTTTGCAAGCAATATCAAATCCTAGGAAAGGGCAAAGCTTAGACTTTATACCACAGACGAACGGCAACTCTTGGTTGTGAAAATTGCCTACTGAGACAAAGCCCTGCTGCGTCAGCCCACTATTTCTACATGGCAGACTCCCTGCTTACCACATTAAAGCTCCACGCTGCAGCATCAGTAAGCTTGTCAGATAAATCAGACTCGACTGGAAGTCACAACAATCTAAATGCCTCGTGAATGTGCTCTGGCATGCCAAAAACCAAGGACGAAGTCTTTGGGACAGCCTTACTGAGGCTGCACAAAAGTCCCGGCTGGAGTTTGATCGCGACATGGCACGTCCCTCGGGGGTGTTTTACCAAACAGCAAAACACCATCACTCGGTGAAGATCCAGCAGGCCAGACTGACCCTGTTCTCACGTTCTCTTTACCGTGACTAATCGTTACTCTCTACTAGCACAAGGTGAAGGAAACCAACAGTCTTGAATTCTTTCCAAAAAAGTTAAATTTTCTTTGAAATAAGACATTTGATTAACAAAAAAGAAAAAAAAAAAAAAACACTTTATATACAAGCACCACTGAACCGTGATACTTTACAGCAGAATCCTTACCCCCAGGACCTCCCTCTGCCGATTCCCCAGCAGCGCAGGAATGAGCCCGGATTTCAGCCTGCCCGGTCGGTAGCAGAACCGGCTCCTGTTCTACCAAGGCGGAGAGGCTGACGGCGGGGTTCCCGCCCGACACCTGACTGCAGGGGAACCCTCGCCCGAGGGAGGGGGACGAAGGCGCTACGCGAAGGAAGGGAACCGCTTCCCCCCTTACTTGCGGCGCGGCCGGGCGCGG